CATGGGAAATAGGCAGATCCTGTTACCTTTTTTCGTGAATGTCATACATGAAAATAAAACTTAGATTGATGAAACATCGGAGCATACATGGGTAATTGATTTTTTCGTGTTAGCATTTCATTGTTATTAATTTTTATTATCTATAGCTTATTTTTCTGTTTTACAATTGTTTGAATTTTTATTTTTAAAATTGTAATGCAAGGCAACAATGGAGAGCAATCTGCAAACTTTGATTGAGTCGGGCGAAGAGGATAATGAAGAACTTAGGACCCGAGTTTATGTTGATACAATGGGTCTTGAGAGTAATAATAGAGTTAGAGGATATGGTCATGGGGTGACTCCTGATATGGTATCCTATGCATCTTCTTCATCTTCTACATTAAATTCCTCTAAGAGGTTGATGCACAAAATCAGTGAGGACTTTGGTACAACAGAAAGTGTCAAGTTTATGACTTTCGCTAGATTGCTTCGGTCACTAGTATAGATAAATATGTAAATGGATAAAGACAAGGAAGCAAACACAAGATGTACGTGGTTCACCCAGATTGGCTACGTCCACGGAGTAGAGGAGTTCTCATTAATTGTGAAGGGTTTACATAAGTACATAGGTTCAAGCTCTCCTTTAGTGAGTATTAGTGAATGATTTAGTACAAATGACCTTAGGAAATATTGTGGGAGAATGATCTCCTTTTATATAGTTTCTAGCTTTATTCTGACATTGACACGTGTCATGTTGTGATTGGCTTCTGATGTTGACATGTGTTGCGCTATGATTGGCTTTTGATGTCAACACGTGTCGTACTGTGATTGACCTCCTAGTTAGAGGGAAACTCTTCTAGGTCATTGATGGTATAATGTTGATCGATGCTCAGAAGTTTCGGGATTGGTCAAGTATGGTACAAACAGTGTTCCCCCAAGTTCCTGAGTGAGGGAAGCTCCTCGGTTGGGGACTTGCAAGATTCAAGCCGCTGAGTAATCACGAAACTTCTAAGTACCAAAGTGTGGTATCGTTTTCACTTGCCTTATCTGTCTCATAGGTATATGTGGCATTTTCTCTGGAAGTACTTTTCTTCCATCCAAGGGTGGTATCTTTAACCGGTGGAAATTCACAAGGTCATGTATCAATTTCACTTGAAGCTTACTTGTAGTTTCAGGCTTGGTCAAGCACGATACAAACCATGTAGTAAGAGTCCCCCCAAGTCTTTGAGTGAAGAGATCTGCCGAAAGAGGTGACAGACAAGGTAAGCAATCAGAGTTCCAAGTAATCGGTTCCAGATCAGAAGTTTGATTTCGAGCTCCGGCTGATTGTTTTCATTCTCCCTATCTTGCAGGCAGCAAGAAGGATAAATAGAAGAAAAAAGAGAAGAGATAATATGAGATACTTTTGCTTTTGAAGAAGTAACTTTCCACAGGCTTATTCTTGAACTGGGCTGGAGGGTTTTCTGGTTTCCTCCAGAGTATAAGGCCAACTCAAGAATTTGAGGGTCAAAACAAGTCGCTCAAATCTAGAGTACGTTTGACCCTAATGATATAAGATACTTTTGCTGTCGACAAAGTAGTGGGTGTGGTATGGCGAGGCTTTGCTCTTTGGCGATGGTGTTAGCGAAATGCTGTGGAAGCTTCTCGAGTTCTTCGGATAGGGCAGCGATGCTGGGTTTGGATTTGATTTAGACTTCTCTGTCTAGGTTGTATGGTTCTGCAGGAAGGGCATCGTGCTGTAGTGATATGTTCTAGCTCATCATTGATCCTTTTGCTTCAATCTTTTACAGCATTTGTCCTCGATGCAGGAGTGGAATGCAACCTTTGCATTTAAATGGTCCTTCAGAGCACTACTTCTCAGCGACTCATCCATGCGTGGCAGCTTCAGTGTAAAGCATCAATATCATATCAACTGTTCTGAGGTATTTGCTGAAGGACTTCGTGACCTTAACAACAATTGAGGAGGAGCAATCGAGAGCAATGTTAGGCAAACAACCATGCAAAGATTCCGGGCAATCAGTTCCAAATCGGAAGTTTGATTTCAGGTTCCAACTGATTGTGTTTTTTCTCATTTTCCTGCAGGTAAGAGCAAGGGCAAAGGAAAAGATAGGGAAAAATCATGATATGGGATACTCTTGCTTTTAACCCTGATGATATGAGATACTTTTAATCTGATGTGGCTTGTTTGCATAGGTATTATCAGAGGGGGAAAGAAGCTGAGTATTTCAAGAGACTCTGTTGGGAATGCCCTCTCAGATGTGAATAAAAGTTGAGCATTTTTTTTATTTGTAGGTATGCCTGGCTGTGGAGAATGGAGATCGACATATATAGGAATTGTTTCAATAACGGGTAGTAACGCTGTTCCTTTACCCTTCTCGGTCATAACAATGTAGCGGGAGCTGCAACATTCACATGTTTTAACTTTGTCAGAGCACTTTGAAAAAGTGGTCTGTGGTATATGGAAAGCTGATGTTGCGTGTGAAGATTGCATACAAGCTTTATCCAAGGAAATTTGGCTCTCAAAGTTCGGAAAGTGATGCCTCTTCGGTTTTCGAACAAGTAATCCTGTTGGGGATCTGGCTCTCGAGATTCGGAGAGCGTTGCCTCTTTGATTTTTTAGAAACCAATCCTGGTAGGAGTCTGGCTCTCGAGATTCGAAAAGCAGTGCCTCTTCAATTTTAGAGAAAGCAATCCTGGTGGGAGTCTGGCTCTCAAGATTTGGAGAGTGGTGCCTCTTCGATTTTTGAGAAAACGATCCTGGTGGGAGTCTGGCTCTCGAGATTCGAAGAGCAGTGCCTCTTTAATTTTTGAGCAAGTAATCCTGTTGGGAGTGTTTTCTCAATGTGAGTATAGGTTAGGCATTTTTGCCAGTTCTGCCTTGCCATGGAGCATATAGGCTGACACACATAGGGACTTTCCAGTTACCAAGCAGTGGTGCTGTCCCTTTACCCTTGTGGGTAATAGTAGGGTAGCGGGGCCTTCAAAATTTATGTGTCCAAGATTTGTCAGAGATCTTTGGCAAAGTTATCTGTGGTACTCGATGAGCTGATGTTACGTGTGGGGATTGTCGACATATTTTACTCAGGAAAATCTGCTTCTCGAAATCCGAAGAGTGGTTCCTTTTCGATTTTTGAACAAACAGCCATACTGCCCTTTGATAGGAGCATATTTATGCGCCTTAGTTAGCTAGTTCTTATGCATTTCCATGGTGTTTTCTTAGTTAAAGTAGTCTTTTAAGCCATTTTTGTGTGTTTTCAGGTTTTAAGGGTAAAGTATACAAAAAGATGCATTTTAGAGCCTTTTGGAGCAAAATGGAGCTTGGAGTGGATGTCACATACTTGGAGCCAAGGGAATGGACGAAATTGAAGATTTGAAGATGTTGATTCCTACTTGAACAAGGTTTCCTAGTTGAAGTAGGAAAGTGCCTAATTGAAGATGAAATCCTAGTCAACAAAGGATTCCTAGTTGATGTGGGATTCCTAGAAGAATGAAGTTTCCTACTAAATCAAGGTTTCCTACTTGAAGTAGGAAAGTTAAACCTAATTGGCCTTGAGTTTCAGCTACAAAGAGGAGTCCTAAACACTTTAGGACACCTTAATCCTTGTTCTAGAAAGATTCACACCAATTTCAGTAAGGAAACCCTCCTTGCCGTGCATTCCTTGTTTCTAGAAGCTTTATCCATGCACACACATCCTTGCCGTGCCTATCCCTTCTAGAAGACCTATTTTCCTTGCCTTGCAAGGCTTTCTAGAAGCCTTATCCTGCCCTATCCAAACCTGCCGCACCTTGTGGACGTTTTCCCTTGTGTATTCTAATTGTTAAGCCTTTTTCCTTGTGGATTTGGATTTTACAAGTCCATATCTAATTTCCCTAGGGTTTTAAGTGCCTATATATACTCTCATTCACCCCTTGGCCGAATTACCACCTCTCATTCAGATCATTCACGCCAGAAACAAGAAGCCACTCTCTGCCACAGCCTTCCACCACCATTCTCCATAATTCTTGCCAAAAACCACCCCTTGCCACACCACCCATCCATCCTAAACACCACCATACTACCCCCATCCATTCTACACCATTCATAACCCCAAGAACCTGTCCATGCGTTTGTGCCGCAGCAAGGAGGAATGAGGAACTTCGTGGATGCACCTGCTGTCCAAGTTGGAGTGTCTAGGTTTTCTCTTTCTTTGGATTTCAATGTCTAAACTTATTTATCTTTGCTTTGTGCGTATGAGGAACTGAACCCCCCTTGGCTAGGGGGGATTCGAAACTATGTTTATGCTTGCTATATGATTTAATTACTTTCAATTGCGTTTCATAAGTTGTGGATTCAATTTGCTTATCTATTTGAATTAAACTGATTTGTGTGTGTTGGTTGAGAGTGCACGCTTAATTTTCATGCATAAATCTAATGCTAGGATATAAGGGAGTTTCACCTAATCGTTATGAACTTATATTCGCAAGTAGTAAAGGTTGTTGATCACAATTGTGTTAAGTAAATTCTGGGCATAAGTTTCATACACTTTCATAGTTACGAGTGCCTCGTCAATGCTTATGATTTCCATTGAACGTAATCATCTTTGATTGTATCTCTATTATGCGCTTTCATGTAGGGAGCTTTTGATGAATAATTTGATTGCGATGCGCTTTTTCCATCCAATTCATTGACTTAAGGGAAATCTGAAAGTTAATTTAAGCGTATCTAATTAACTTGGGGTGTTGAGAATTCATGGGTTATTGAAAAACAATTGGAAATCGTTTTGTATGCAAGTGTGACATGTGTGGAAAAGAACCCCTTAGCTAGCTTTCTATCCATTCACTTTAACCAAATTCGTTTAAAATCTGTTTTAGTTACAAGTTTCTGTTTTGTTTTCAATTTCGTCAAAACCAAATCCCCATTTATTTTGAAGTGTTAGATTAGTTAGAAATCAATTTAGTTTGTGTTTTTAAGTGTCGCTACAAGAAAATATGGTAATTGCGACACTTTTTTTACGACGCGTGATGCAGCCGTCGCAATAACTATTAAATTTCATTATTTTATGCGCGCTAAACTTTGGCGCTCTGTTGTTTGCGACAGGAATAAGTTCCGTCGCACACACCTCTGTTGTGAATAAGTAGAAGAAAAAAAAACACAACTGCACGCTCTCATCTCCTTCTCGCTCTCCGCCTCTCTCGTTCTCGTTCTCCGCCTATCTCCCTCTCTTCAAAGCATAGATCCTTCTTTGCCACTCTTGCCACAACCACTGATGCTGAGACACAATTGAACCAGGTAAGGATTTATGTTTCTTGTTCCTCTCTTAAATCTCCCCTTTCCCTAACCCTAATATTTTTTGTCATCTCTTAGTTTTTTCTTTTTGCCGCTAGAAATTCGAATTCAACCTCATCCCTTCTGATTCGGTAATATTATTTGAGGAATTATCTTCTAATTTGTTTTTTCTTGGTGTTGTTTCGTCATTTTTTTTCCGCAAATTCCAGTCTTATCTATTCTCCATTAGTTCTCCCATTGTTTAGGGTTTCTTTTTGTTATTTCTATGTTCAATTTCATCACTAATTGCTTATATTGTTGGAGGATTTTTTGTAATTGGAGCTAGTCAAAGAAGTATGCTGGCTTGGTTTTGTTTATTTATTCTTTATTGGCACTGGTGACTCGGTCAGCAAGAGAAGCAGAAATTTGGTGGTGGATTAATTGGAGAAGGATGAGGAAGAAAGCATTGATGAATGCAGAGATAATGGCGGTGCTTTTGTGAAGAAGCACGGGGTGGTCAGAAAAAGGTGAGATTTGTAGGGGAAAAGGGAAGAACTGTTTGGAAAGGAATGGTGAATGATGAGTAGAAATCAGAGCAAGGCGGAGGAGAAAATGGAAAGCGAGCCTCTAAGAAAAGTGAGAATGGGGTGTAGTTTAAAGGTAGAAGATGAAGTGAGGCATTTTGATGACATCGATACAGAGAAAGGTTTGCGAAGAAGCAAGAAAGTGGGTTATTTTCTTGGGGCCATAAAGGATCATACGAAGCAGGAAGAAAGAAATGTAAATAAGCAGTCCAAGAAAGTAAGTAATTTGTAAATTCTATGTTTATGTCATTTGTTGTCAATGTTGTGATTTACTCGTTTATGTTAATAAGTTACAACTTAAGTTAGCATCTGAAAGATTACCCAACTGTTTGAACAATCTCTAATTGAAATGTAATGCTTTATTTTACAAGTGCTATTTTTTCATGAACCTATTATATGTAAAAACATCCCTGGAATAGTTCCTGGTAATGGCTCGAAGTCATTTCTAATCTTGAATGTAAGTAAAATGATGTGGGAAGTGCTCAATACGTGTCCAATTTACAGGTTGGAAGAAAGCCATATGTATTCCTAGGCATGCCTTTGGCGATCAGTATCGAGCCTGATACAGTTGTCAAAGGGCCATGAAAACTTGAAATGGTTTTTAGTAAGTTAATCTCAACATTCTAGATCATATGATTGTGCTGGTGAAGTAATTTCCCCTTGAATATGGTTTTCTGCTTCGCATCTATCTGTTTGTAATGCTAAGTCCCAGAAGGAGTCTCCCCTGTTGCACTTGATGTCTACAATTTCAAGGGGCCTGGTGTGGCCCTTTCTGTGTATAAATGCTGATGAGGTTTGTGTTACCACAGTGGGCATCGCATACCTTTTTGTTCATTTAGGCAAATGTGCCGATAAACTTTACTAACAAAACCTTGGTTTTTTGGTAGGCTATTCCAGAGTTTGCCGACTTGTCAATGTCGTTGGCTCTTTCCAAGAAGTGGCCACTATACTTAAGCACCAAAAACACTATTATGAAGAAATAGTGAAGTACGATGGCAGGTAAATTTACCTTTGTTGGAAGAATTATTCAACATTCAACTATCAATTCTATATCACTTAGTTCTATAAGGAAATTATTACAAATGTTGAGTTATTTGACTGCCCCAGGTTTAAGGACATATTTGAGGAGGTTTAGGACGAGAGGTGGAAGCATAAGTTTGAAGACAATTCTACATGGTTTGTATTATCATGAGGACCTTGACGTTGGAATATAGAACCTATTAACGTTTTGATCATGTATATATGTTTCATTACTGTAAGTGAAATACATTCTTTGATATCAAAGTGTTTCTCATTTTGTGAATTATGAATTTTATCAGTTTGGATTTTATTTTAGTTTGAAATATGTAGTAACATTTCACATGAAACAATAATGTGATTGTGGCGTCCCATTTGACGCCTAATATTTTTTTTTATACCTGGTGCCAATTATTTGCGACGCATTACTTGCTGTCGCAAACCCCGTAGCAAATAGTATTTGCAACGCGCTAAAAACGTCGCATATAATTGACCAACATTTACGACGCCTATGTATTGTGACGCGTCATTGGCCGTTGCAAGCTCGTCGTAAAAGGCTTGTTGCGACGCTTTTTGCTGTTTTTGCGACACGTTTTGACTATCCCAAAAGGGCTTTTTTTTTGTAGTGTGTCTTGAGTCAAGTTCTAACCTATTTTCGTCCAAATTTGTGTTTGGTGTTCAAAACTGCCCAGATTGTGTTTTTAAGGCAGTTTGGAGTGTTTCTGTGCTGTTTTGAGTCTTTTGGTTTGTTTTAGTGTTTTAGAGTTTAGTTTTACATTCTTTGAGTCTAGTTTAGTGTTTTAAACTTTGTTTTTACGTTTTGAGTTAGTTTTCAAGTGATTTAGCAATCCCTCATAATCCCCGGCCTAGAACGATCCCTACTTACATACTTTGCTACAATTGATAAAAAGAGGGTTTAATTTGTGTGCTTATATATTGTGCATCAAATTTTTTGGCGCTGTTGCTGGGGATTAGCAACGTTGCTAATCCCTTGGATTGTTTTATTTCAGTTTATTTAAATTGTCCAGATTCTGACCTTGTTTTTGTTTCTTGTTTTAGCTACTAGTTTATGACTCAAAGTTCTCATCCGATTCGTGAACACATCTTGGACTTTGACGACGATTTCGAGCGAGAATTGAGACGAAAAAGGAAGAATCCAGAACCTAGTGAATCAAGTTCAAATTCAGAAGCCGAAGTTGAGGTTGAAGAAGAGGAACCCACGACAATAGTGGGTGAAGTAAAGGAAGTCATGGCACAAGACAATCGTACAATCAAGGAGCTTTTGGCTTCGGGATTGGACAGTGCCGCACCCTTATGTATTCAATATCCCGCGGCTGCCCAAGGAAAGACCGAGGAATTCGAGTTGAAGTCAAGTTTGCTACACCACATTCCGAAGTACCATGGGTTGTGTAAACCATCTGAGATTATCTAAGGAAATAATTATACAGAAGCAAGAAGGAAGAAAGAGATAGAGAGAGAAGAAGAATGTCGAAGATATTAGAGAGAGAAAACTGTTATTCTTTTCTTATCAGTTACAATGAATTGTTACAAGCTATATATCCTAACACTTTGTAGCTTACACTCTAAGTAACAATATAACCAACTTAACTATCTTCATGATCTTTTGACACTTGTCCATTTCCTACCTATTGGATCTTAATACTCCTAACATCCCCCCACAAGCTCAGGGGCAGAGAATGTGAGCCTGAGATTGGCACAATGAGTTTGAAAAAGAGGAGCAGATAAGCCTTTGGTAAGTATATCAACAAAGTGCTCGGTGGAAGAGACAAAATGCACCTGCAGTTGCTGTTTTGCTACCCGCTCGCGAACAAAATGTACTTCAACTTCTATGTGTTTTGTACGTTGATGCTGAACAGGATTTAAGGTCAGTGCGATAGCAGATAGGTTGTCACAGAAGAGAATTGGCTTTTCGACAACTGGAACCTGCAGAAAATGTAACAATTGGTGAATCCAATCAAGTTCAGCAGTTGTAGTAGATAAAGCCCGATACTCAGCTTCTGTGGATGAGCGAGAAACAGTTTGTTGCTTCTTAGATGACCATGAAATAGGATTAGATCCCAAAAATACAACCATTCCAGTAGTCGATCGCCTATCATTAGGATCCCTAGCCCAATCTGCATCACTATATGCAGTAATATCCAGTGAACTCTTGACATAATGAATGCCACAACCTTGAGTAGCTTTTAAGTACCTAAAAATTCGTTTCACTGCCATGAAATGTGACTCCATAGGATTTTGCATAAACTGACAAACCTGATGCACTGCAAAGGCAATGTCAGGTCGAGTGAATGTGAGGTACTGTAAAGCGCCAACTAAACTGCGATAAAGGGCCGGATTATTATAAGGTTTGCCATCATCTTTGAGCAATCTGTTGTATGGCAAACAGGGAGTGGCACATGGTTTAGACAGTAGCATATCAGCCTTAGTTAGCAAATCTGTAACATACTTGTGTTGAGAGAGAAATAAACCATCCGTCTTCTGTAAAATCTGAATCCCCAGAAAATAGTGGAGGGGTCCCAAATCTTTAATATCAAACTCTCGGGTAAGGGAATGAATGACCTCAGTAATTGCTTATGTGCCACTACCAGTAATAATAATGTCATCCACATATAGGAGTAAAATCACCACAGAACTGTCAACAACCTTTACAAATAGTGAAGAATCTGCATATGTGGATTTGAATCCCAAGGATGGGAGAAATCGAGTAAACCTATCATTCCAGGCCCTTGGTGCCTGTTTTAATCTATATAAAGATTTATGCAACCTGCACACATAATCTTCATGCTTTAAATCAACAAATCCAGGTGGTTGAGTCATGTATACTTCCTCTTGCAAGATATCGTGGAGAAAAGCATTTTTCACATCTAATTACCGCAATGTCCAACCAAAATGTGCAGAGAGAGCTAGAACTAGTCTTACTGTTGTAGGCTTCGCAACCGGACTAAAGGTTTCCCCAAAATCAATACCTTCTTCTTGATTAAACCCTTTAGCTACTAGGCGAGCCTTATACCTCCCAATAGAACCATCAGCATTCTTTTTGATCTTAAAGACCCATTTACATCCTACTAAGTTTTTATGTCTTGGTAGAGGTACCAGAGACCATGTACCTTGATGATGCAATGCTAAAATCTCATCTTTCATAGCTTCATGCCATACCAGGAACTTTAATGTAGACTTATATGTGGCAGGCTCAACTTGATTCAGATCAACCCCTCCATGTTCATGTATAACAGCTAAAAGAGCAATTTTCTTGGAGATACCACTCTTTGACCGTGTCTGCATAAGGTGGAGATTCATTGGTGGGATAGATAGAACCACTTGTAAGTGTTCAGGTCGAAATTCAGGGACCACATGAAGTGTAGGAGGTAAGGGCTGTGTAACTGCTGCACCAATGGATTGATTAGATACTGATTCTGCGGAGTGTGAACTTGTAGTTGCCTCTGGTATGGACTGGAGCTCAGGAGAGACTTGATGCATATCAGTATTTGACAGAGGACTCATTGTAGTATCGGAACTTAGGTGTTCAGGAGAATCAAGGGATTGACCAAAGGTGGAAGGATTCTGAGTTGGTGGTAAGACAAGCACACTATTTTGATTAGGTATTGGAATAGGTGATGGAATGAGGGATGGTAATGGTGCAGAAGTAATCGATTGATATTTGAGAACCAAGGATTTGTAAGGAAAATCAGTTTCATAAAAAATCACATGTCTTGACACATAAACTTTCTTTCTAGACACATCATAGCAGAGAAACCCTTTATACTTAGAAGCATAGCCTAAGAATACACATTTTGTTGTTCTAGGTTCGAGTTTTGTGCTAGTGTATGGTCTTAACCAAGGATAACATGAACACCCAAAAACTTTCAAGTGTTGGATCTCAGGGAGAGTATTATGCAGCAACTGAAATGGTGATTTATGATTTAATGTGGATGAAGGCATTCTATTAATCAAATATACTGATGTTTGACAGGCAAAGGACCAAAACAGAGATGGTAAAGAAGCAGTTTGTAATAGGGTAATGGATGTTTCAATTATGTGTCTATGTTTTCTCTCTGCAGTGCCATTTTGTTCTGGTGTATAAGGGCATGACATCTGGTGACTGACTCCTTTATCAAGAAGAAACTGTTGAAATGCCTTACTTGTATACTCACCACCACCATCACTTTGAAGAACTTTTATGGATGTATGAAACTGATTGAAAATAAAATTGTAGAAGGACACAAAAGTTGGGAAGACATCACTTTTATTGCAGATTGGAAAAATCCAACAGTACTTGGTACAATGATCAATGAAAGTCACATAATACTTGAATCCCTCTAAAGACACACAAGGAGCAGGGCCCTACACGTCACTATGAACAATACCAAATGGGTTTACAGACTTTGGAACTAAGGGAGAGAAAGGAAGTTTACTAAACTTGCCCTCTAGACAGGTTTGACACAGAGAAAGAGTACTATCAGCAACACAAGGAATTTTGGAAGTGCTTAACATCTGAGAAACTATTTGATTGGACGGGTGACCAAGCCTCTTATGCCAAATACTGACAGTGACTTGTTTGCCAAGAAAAGCTACAGGTTGTCCTTTATTGTTGACTGGAGGAGAACATGATGAGATGATGGGATACAATCTATTGTTACACAGCCCTTTGTAGAGAATCCTCCATGTGGTTTTGTCCTGAATCCAAAAAGAAAAAGCATCGAAGATCAACTAGCAGTTGTTATCCAAACAGATTCTATGTACAGACAACAAGTTTTGTGATAGTTTCGAAACATATAAGACATAATTGAGCTTTATAGGCTGCATTGAAGTTGATAAGAGAGAGAAACCAATGTGAGAGATAGCTAAACCTTCACCATTAGCGGTCTGGATTACTTCATTTGCAGGATATGTAGTAGCTAAGGAAAGATTGCTCAACTCGGAAGTCATATGATTATTTGCACCTGAATCAGTAAGCCAAACTTGTTGCTGTGTAGGTGCAGGTGGTACTGAAAAAGGAGAAGTAGCAGCATGCATTGCATTCATTAGTGAATTAGAATTCTTTTAAAAACAAGTTTCTGCAGTATGATAAGGATTGCCACAAATCTAACAGCTTGAAGAAGCAACTGCATTCCTATATCTGCAGGTATCAGCAAAGTGATTGTTTTACCACAAATTTGACAGCCTTGAAAGGTGTTTGTATTCCGAAACTGACAAGTAGAAGCCAAATGATTACTCTTCCCACAAATCTGACATGGTTGATTGTGAACACCATAGTTTTGAGCCCTTGGTGGAGATGTACCAAGAATTCCAGGAGCATGGTTCGGTTGAAAAATTTTGTTGTTACCAAACTTCGGAGTAAAGTTGGAATTGAACCGATTTCTACCCTTATTGTTGTAGT